TTCTGCAACCACAACTCCATGTGGATTTCTAATATTGGAAGAAAGCAGGACATTCAGATTATGATGGTCACTGGAGAATCGTCTATATATGTACTGGTAAAGTGATTATTAAACATTCATCAAAAAACAGCAGAGCACAGGAGAACGTGAAACCATTCGATTGGACTCCCAAAGTATAAAAAGAAAAATAATCATTTGGAGTTCTTGCTCCTTACGTTGAATGATTCGACCCGGGCTAGGGACTAGCATGGATTTGAGAATCCGGGTATCCACCCATGCCCACCCGTGAATTTACGGACGGGTACGGGGCGGGGACTTTTCCACGGGTACGGGATGGATATGGATATCCGTGGTTCGGTACGTGATTTGGTGCCTGCTTTACTTGCTGTACGACACGACCGTTAATAAATGAAATAATATCTTTTCTACTGCATAAAACAATAAGAGAAAGTCTTTTACAGTTAGAGGTGAGTATCTATTGCCCCTTGCTAACTTAAGGTCATCTTGTAGCTCACCCTTGTTCGCTCTACAGCCAGTGCTGTTTACAGAAGCCATATTGCTCCCTTCAAGCATCGATTCTCCATGTAATACATTCAAGTCATCAATGGCTCTGGGACCTTGGTGCAATGCACCTTTCTATGATTTTCATGAAGCTGTATCAGCATTAGAGAGTGCTATGAGAGGAGGAGGAGGATCATCTAACAAAGGTTGATACTATTGGGATTGGAGTGTACAAAAAGTTCATTATAATCACAAATTTACATACTTCTAGTCCTTCCTATGAGCTTTTTTAAGTGCGAAACGCCTTGCTTTGGCATGCTTAATATAGTAAATCAATAGATTAGATGTATCATTATGGTCAGGTACTGCAACCGTGGTCACCCGTAACCGTGAAAATTGCCCCGGGTGGATTGAAATCCATGCGGATTTCAAAGTCCGCCCCCGGGCAGCACCCGGGGTGACCATGCTAGTCCCTAACCCGGGCTCGAACCGGGGACCTTCTGTGTAAATTCATATTCTGGAGGATGTTAGACAGATGCGATAACCAACTACGCCATCGAACCAATGCAAAAGTGAATATCAGTCTTATCCAATTGTACTTAACTGTCACCTTGTGAAGAATACCTACCCGTCCACGCACAGCGGAAACGGACATTTAGAGCGTGGGCCACTGATAGGTGATTTCGCTGTTGATTACTTACATTGAAGGATATCATCTTCGAAGGCTTCCTCTACCGAGCGAGAATTGATGAAGTTGGGGGATAGCATCAGACGGGAGGCGACGATGGTATCGGAGGGCAAAGCGTGGTGTGGATAGGGAGGTTGAGACGGCGAGTATGACGTTGATGTTGAAGAGGAGACGCAGATGGAGGAAGCAGTGGCAGAGATGGCAATTCAAGACGCAACGGCTCGTTGAAATGACGAGTATCTTTATGTTGAGAGCCATTTCTTCATTCTCCCCGGTCGCCTTGTAAGCCGATGAGTGCAGAAAAGCTGATGATGGAATGGATCGTAGTCGTCGTCGACAGCGGCTGGGTCATTGAGCATCGTTGTAAAGCGATTCAAGGGCAAACGGAAAGATGCAAGTAAAAGACTGGATGAAAGAGGAAAGGAAAAGGGCATGGCCAATATTGGGAATGATATGTATTCCGTAGGAACTCACTCGACATCCACAAAATATTCTGGTAACGGCAGCAACCTGAACCAAAACCCAAACCCGAGTACCGACTCCGATTCCAATCCCGGAAGTGTTTTCATCGCCAATGTGGATTGGAATTTGAATCTCCGTGTCGTAGACTTGGTCGATGGAGAGATATACGAAGCCTAGGAGTAAGCCAAACAGCAGGTCTAAGTCGAAGACAAAATCACTCCCGGACGAGCTCTACCGCGAGGTTGATCGTGGAGAAATTGGGCATACTCTGGGGACGCGTCGGTTTCCTGTCTATGCAAATGCATGTGTATGGATATGGGATAGAGGGAATGAGAGCGATAATGAGAGAAGATGAGGAGGAGTCAGCAACGGCGAGCAAGAAAAAAGTTAGGAAAGGAAAACAGACATACAGTTGGCCATTCCGAAGCTCGGACAGACGCCGACAACGGATCTCAGTAACTACTCGTTGACGAAGGAGTCAAGCATGGGGCTTGGGTTCACCTATAATACTTGTGATGAGAGTCGGTCGTTCATAGAGAGCTGAGGTCAAAGGTGAAAACAAACTCACCACCCGAATTCAAAACCTCCGCCAACCGCCTACCAGCTGAACGCCAAATCAACTTGATGTCGAAATGACGATTTAGGAGTTGAGTGCAAGGAGGCGAAGCCGACCGAGAAATGGTTAAGGGTGTCCATGTACCATGATGTGTTGACGACACCGAGCGCGAGTACGAGACTGGCACGTCGTGAAAGTTCAAACTTTCAGTAGAAAGTTTGACTGGGCGCTTAAATTTAGCTTCACACTGTTATAACTATGTCTATAGATCTCAGACTCTGGCTTTGGCTAGACAGGTCCGCAACTACGACCTCTATCCTCGAACGTTGCACTCCTCAATCCATACGTAGTATAAGTTGCATCGAACTTGCTCAAAGCAGCACACTCTTACGTGCGTTTTTTACAGGGTATTCTTTCACATTTACCATCCCCTTCTCTCAAAATCCTTCAACGTATCTCTCGTAGTTTCCTCCATAGAACGATACTTCAACTCATGACCGAATATCTTCGAAGCCTTAGCCGTGTCAAAAGCGATCTTTTGGAGGCTTTCCTGCCCCACGGTTTCCTTTTGGCATGTCGGTGTGCGAAGGGATCGGGGAGGGGGAGAGAGCGTTGGCTGTATCAACTGGAAGGAAGAATGAAAGCAAGTGAGCCGTTGATACTAGGAGGCATTAGCCGAAGACTTACTAAAATCTTGAAACACCCACTCTCCCGCACTCACCACCACCTCTCTCTCCTCCAGCCTCCTCCTTAATCAAAGACAGAGCATGTGCAAGTGCGATATCACGAACATCAACCCAGCCGCTTCCGAAAGTGGCCAGTTCTTCGAGGGATTTACCTCCCATGTCGGGACGCACAACGGTGTTGTACCAGTCGCCAGCGCTTGCTCCAAGGGACGAGGGAGATGAGACGTCGTGGATCACAGGGCCAAAACCTATCAAGAGAGGCGCTTCTGAGATAAGGTGAATAATGAGAGCAAATTGACATGGTACATACGTTTGGTGGGTTCAAGACAACAAGGTCCCAAGAAACTTTCGCTTTGTTTGCTTCATAAAAATCCCAAGCAGCTGCACCCAATGTTAATGGCCAGCAAACTTAAGTGCACTAGGGATCAAATATACCTCTCTCGCCAACGTCTTACTAGCACAGTACTTGTCTAGCGCACTCGCATCCTTTCCGTTCTTCTTTACCCCCTCAACGGATAGATCATTCCAATCCACTTCCGAGAACCGCTTGGGCTCGGGGAGGAGGGACAGAACAGCTGCGCAGGAGGATGTTATAACGATTCGTTGTACGGATGAGACAGCAAGCGCGCTTTTGAGGACGCCGATGGTACCGTTTACAGCTGGGACGATGATTTCTAAGTACATTCACACGCCCACTTTCAGTGCTACATATGAGCTCGAAGATCATAATCATCATACCTTCCGGATCTTCAGCGTTGAAATGAACAGGCGAAGCGGTGTGTTCGATGGCGCCAACACCTTTGACGGCTTCATCGAATGCTCCTTCAGTAACCCCGTTAGCTTTGTTAAACAGTAGGGGGCTAATTGAAGTTTTTGTTAAACGTGTTAAACAAACTACATAGTACTACCCTAATAAAGTTGTTAAACATATCCGTTGTGCTCAGTTGAAGAGAGCGTTCAACCACGTTAAACGCAATCTTGAGCGCCCCATCCACTGGCCCCTCCGACTGTTGTAGCAGTTCAACTACGTTGAACGCCTTTCCACAGCAACTCACGCGCCCCATCCATTGGTCCTCCTGCAGCGGTTCAACTACGTTCAACGCCCGTTGAACGTAGTTGAAGACCTTTAAGCATTAATCCACCCACCTCGTTAAACTGCGTTGAACGGCTTCATAAGTTTAAACGCACCAAATAATTCCATACACTCCACATAATACATGTTAAATTATACACTAGCGACCGTTAAACTGGTTAAACTGGTATATGAACGGAAAGACCCCGGTTAAACCGGTTCAGCGGAATAAAAACAAGGGCGAGAGGGAGAATGACAAGCATAGGAAGAGAGGAGTAAAGAAAGAGAGAGGAAGCATGTTAGGACGAACCATAAAGTCCAGAAAAACCAAATAAAGACAATAATGAAATCACAACCTTCGACTCTTCCGCTTCTTCTTGGGTGGCTGCTGGACACCGACGTTCTCCTCTGTCCCTCTGGTATCTACTTCCTCATTGACAGACCGCCCGCGTTTCCTAGTGCGCCCTCTACCAGTATCATTGCTTGTCGTTGCACTGTCTTCAACAGGCACTGATCCCGGAATAGGTTCCAGCGTATATGACCAAAACCTGGACTGCTTCTTGCCCGGGATGATGACATCCCTACCGGAGGACCCGCCTCGTTAGAGCTAGCTGTCTTTCTACGACCCCTAGTGCTTCTGCGTAGAGGCCCTGCGGCATCCTGGTTCGAAGCGCCGAGTTCGTCGATGGTGGCTGAAGGCCCCCGAGTAACCCCACTAGCAGAAGCAGCCCGTCCTTCACCTTCTGATATCGAAGCACGAGCGGCGAGGTCGAGCTGCAATGGAAGCAGGAGCTGGAGTGTGCGCTGGAATAGGGGTGGGCTCTCGAGGAGGAATGTGAGTCGATTCTCGAGCAGGGGCGGAGTCGGATCTCGAAGAGGAATGGCAGTCGGCTCTCGAGGAGGGGCGGGAGTCGGCTCTCGAAGAGGAATGACAGTCGGCTTCTCGAGGAGGGGGGGGTCGGGAGAGTCGGCTCTCGAAGAGTCGGCTCTCAAGAGGAATGGCAGTCGGTTCTCGAGGAGGGGCCGGAGTCGATTCTCGAGCAAGGGAGGGAGCCGGCTCTCGAGGAGGAATGGTAGTCGGTTCTCGAGAGGGAATGGCAGTAGCCTCTCGAGGAACAATGGGAGTGGGCTCTCGTTCGCGTCCTGAAGTTGAGGTAGTCGCTGGAGGCCCAGCAGCGCAAGCAGGCTGAACGGCTTGCTCACGTTTACAGAAACAAAAACCAGATCCCTCTTGTAAATATTCAGCCAGCGCCACTATTTTTGCCGCGGCGAGTGTTTGAGGGTCGACCAGTTGAACAGGCAAGCGGAACTCTTGCTCATTGTAGAAAGATTGGGGATCTTCTTTAATTTTGTCCCAAGGTATCTTGCTGCCGTACTGTTTGCCTAAATAGCCTATCAATAAGATATTTAACAAGTTGATTCCAAGTAGCACTCACCCCAAATTTTACCAAAAAACTCTTTCACCAACGTTTGTATATCCTTCATTTTGAAGTCAGCGAAGTCGAGGTCTGGAAAGAG